AGGGGGGGGGGTAGGCCGCCCAGCTGGACAGATGTGTGGGAGGCGGAGAAAAGGAAAGCCGTTGCCTCTTGAGACGTGGCGGAGAACTGTGGGAAACCGGATCCCATCTCTTCCTCTTCTCCGCCACTGCCAGACGCAAAGCGCAAGGATATAAAAACACCATGTCACGAGCGGTGGAAACTTCAGGACGCTTTCTGGGAAGGAAGTCCCAGAAAACTCAAGAAGATTTACTCCCTTGTAAACTGGGCTTAGATCGGGTTGCATGATTCTGTTGGGGACAATTTCCCATCCTCATCACCATCATCACAACAAAGAACCTATATATATTATATACAAAATTATTATATACAATAACAACCGTAGACCTGCAGAGCTGGATGGGACCCAATGGATCATCTAGTCCAGCCCGTCAAGGAGGCCCAGTGGGGGAATCGAACTCCCAACTTCTGGCTCTGCAGCCAGATGCCTAAACCCCCGAGCTACCCAGCAGTTCTTATCCTACATCAGCAGCTCTCTAAGCAGGGTTCCAGGAATCAAAACGCCACAAAATGATCAAAACCAGTGCTTCCCAAACTTTGGGTTCCCCAGATGTTCTTGGACTACAACTCCCAGAAGTCCTGGCCATCCCAGCTCATGGTGAAGGCTTCTGGGAGCTTTAGTTCAAGAACATCTGGGAGGACCCAAGGTTGGGAGCCATTGGTATAAAATGAGGATAACACTATGTCCACCATCCTATTGGCCCTATTGTAGGGTAGTCCTATTGAAATCAGTAGGATTTACATAGGTGTTGACTGTGGATCTACGCTTTTGTGTAGAGTCTGGGCTCAACTGGAATGCTGAGAGAAAACAAATCCAGGTCTCTGGTTTTTCCCCAGGCACGACAGCTCTTTCTTCCCCCGCCAGGCGTGCTGGGCGGCTGGATGGCAGCCACTGGGGAGCATTGGTAGCAAGAGTGATGATGGGGACAGGACTCTTCCTGGCTGGTCAAAGACCCCACCGCCGCCACCACCACCCAGCTGCTCACCGGACAAGCCAGTCCTGCAGGGAAGGAAGACCGGCGGAATCCTCGCTCGCTCAACATGACGTAGAAACAGAGGCAGAGGATCTGAACCCCCCGTGCAAGGCCCAGCTATTGACTAAAGGTGGAGACAGACTCACCCGTTGTTGAATGAGGGCATGCTTGTGTTCCATCTCTCTCTTCTCCACAGCAGAGTCGATCACCAACTGGTCCAGCTTCACGGAAGAAAGTGAAGAAACAAAATTCGGTAACTGAAAGGATTAAGTTTCTGTCTTTTCCTTTCTTCTGCTTAATCTCCTGTTGGGTTCAGGTCCATCCACTTCCCGGACTTAATATTGTCCCTGTCTCATTGGCTTGCTTTCCACCTCCTCGGGTGAAATATGGCAGAGATCCCTCAACTGTTTTGGTTTTTTTGGGAGGGAGGAACTGGTCAACACAATTCCAATTTTGAGACCATGTCAAGGACACCATCACAAAATGGCTGCCACGTGAGCAGAATGTGAGGTTTTGCTCCCTCATAAGATGGCTGCTCTGGGGGTTCCCAACTTTGGGTCCTCCCAGATGTTCTTGGACTAGAACTCCCAGAAGCCTTCACCATGAGCTGTGCTGGCCAGGATTTCTGGGAGTTGTAGTTCAAGAACATCCGGGCGCCCAAGGTTGGGAAGCACTGGTTGATACGACTACCCACCTGACTTGAAAATTTACCCATGGACTTCCACACACTTTACCTACGGTTAGAAACAGAAATGCAAAGCCCTAGATAGGGTGAAACACTGAGGTTTGCAGAAATTTAAAAAAGAGGAGGAACCTGTAAGGAGGCACCCCCCTCAAATAAAACAACCAGAATAACATTCCTACAGAATCCTCTCCAACCAGTAAGGAACTGGAAAAGTGGGTGGACAGAAACATAACAGGGCAATGATGATCTTTTTATTCTCCCAAGCCCTCTAAATTTTGGCACCCTCTAAATTTTGGTGCCCAGGGGCTAAGCCCCACTTGGCTGGGTCTAACTGAGAGCCTTCCACCCTTTCAAAATTTTGGCCCACGACACCCTCCCCCCCATCCACCCAGCCCAGAAGCCAGGCTGTCCTACGAAGCAAGCTCTCCTCCCATTGAATCTGGTGTTGATGGTTTTTTTGGTCTCCGTTTCACACCCTGCTTTGCGGGGCCCTCCTCGTTGCGTTTGCCGTTGTCGGTTGGCCGAAACACTTTGGTTTCTGCCCCTTCTGAGCCAGGCTGAAGACATCAAGGGGGACAGAAAGAGAGAAATCTTCCTGGCAGAGAGCCGGGGGATAGCCGCCACGTGAGAGCCCTTGGGGATTAGGGTGTCAAATCGCTCTGAGGATTAGCTGAGCAAGATCTTATCCCCTGGGTTGACACGAGAAACGTGAGCGGCCGCCGGCCGCCCTGCAGGCTCAAGGCTAGGACAACCCAGGGGTTGGAGGCGTCCAAGCCAGGAGCCGAAAGGATCTCTCATCTACAAAGCCCGTCAGCTACAGCGTGATCTGTCTCCTTATCTCTGAACCTCCTGGGCACCAACCCAGAAGCTATTTTCATTTTGTTTACGCTCAGAACAAACGTGGGGCAGCGGCCGACGAAGACCTCAACCGCAGCTCACATCTTTAAAAAACAACCACGACCGAAATACTACGGCTAGTCGCAGCGAGAGTAGACCCATTGGCCTAAATCCTGCTACTTGGCACAGTCAATTGCACTAGAGGAGTGCAATCGGGAATCGACGCAAATTTGGAAAAGCAACTCCGCCATAAAGTCTACTGAATCCAATGGGCCTACTTTAATTTGGTACAGTAAGTCAAAGACTTAGGCCCATGGAAATCAACAGAACAGGCGGAAGGGTTGACTCACTAAACCCCCATTGATTCAGTGGGCCTGTTCGAGTGTGATTTACTACACTAAGCCACGTGATTTGGGCTCCCGGAATCAACTGAAGTATAGGAAATCACCAGGTGTCAATCATGGTGATTCAATGGGATTGCTCTAGTGGGAGCTATTGGGAATATCCTGGCCATAAAAGGCAACAAAATTAAAATTGTAGATAGCAGCAGTTTTTTTTTTTAAAGCATCACATGGACATTATTTCACAATATATAGAATTTTAGAGGTCTTTAGAGGTCGTCTATGCTAACGCCCGACTCAGTGCGAAACTCTTCCTTTCTAGCATGTCTTGACAAACGGTTGGGTAGCTGTTCCTTGGTTTGCTCCCATCCCAGCACTGAAATGCTGCAGGTCTGGGGGTTTATTTTGGGACTACAATATCCAGGATTACCTAAACAGCACAGGCGGTGGCTTCTAGGAGGTTGACACCCACCAACGTAACTTTTCCAAGCTGTTGCCTTGAGCGAAGGAAAGCCCGCGATCTCCCAAGGATAGAAAGAGTGTGTAACAATAGAATCCCACTATCTGTGGGAGATGCTGAAAATGGCTGATAATAGTGACCGCTATACATAGCATGGTCTCTGGCTCCTTCTAGTGGCCAGTTCTGGTAACTACATCATGGAAATACGGTACATATTTCTCGATTTTTTTTTCCTTTCAAAAATTTGAATATTTTCAAACGACAGGTAAGTGAAACCGCAGTTACTGATCTCACAGATATGGCTGTCCTGCTGTTTTCATTTAGGTTAAGATCTTAGCCAAACTAGCAAACTGATTCCGAAATGAGGTGGAAAGCGCCTGTGATTCTTAAAAAGTGGAATAAGTGGGAAATGGAAATCCACCATCACCCTTCCTATGTCTCTCCCCTCTTTCCTCCCTCTTTCCTCATGTGGCTGCCTCTCACCTCGGTAGCCAGCTTCTTCATATAGGGATCCAGCTCATGAAGAAGGCTGTAGCCTTGCTGGAAAAATGTGTACTGGGCATGCATAAAGGATAACATCTGAAAAGACAAAGCAGTAAGGTTTGATTGTCAACAGAGGTACAGGGGAAGCATCCTCACATCTTTCCATCAAATCTGATCCACCCACTTGACGCTCGGTGGTTTAGGTCTCTGGCTGCATAGCTGGGAGTTTGAATCCCCCACGGGGTCTCCTTGACTGGAGCCGGACTTGTATATTGCTTGGGTCTCTTCCGGCGTTGCAGTTCTAAGACTATTATTATTATTATTCAGACTTGTTCATTGCTTGGGTCTCTTCTGGTGTTGCAGTTCTAAGACTATTACTATTATTTTATTTAAAAGAAGAATCGTCAGAGGAGCAGGTGACAGAGAAAGGGATTCCATTGACTAATTGTGGGCCTTGAATTTAGATCATGGTTCTAGTCCCTAATGAGCCATGAAACTCACTAGGGCCCATCACTCTCTCTCTCTCAGCCTGGTCTCCCTCACAGGACTATTGTGAGGCTAAAGTGACAAGGTGGAGAGGCATGTTCGTCCTATGTTTGCAATCATATTGGTTACATTTATTTTGTAGATTGGAGCTGACATCTCTTTTTTTAAATCCACCTCTTGGCATGCGTACGAATATGTGTCCATATGATCCAAATATAATTCTCACCGCATCCAAGATTTCAAATTTCTTCTTGGCCTGGAGGACATTGATCTGGAAGGAAAAGAAAGAAAGAAAGAAAGAAAGAAAGAAAGAAAGAAAGAAAGAAAGAAAGAAAGAAAGAAAGAAAGAAAGAAAGAAAGAAAGAAAGAAAGAAAGAAAGAAAGAAAGAAAGAATGACCCAATTACTTCGTTTGCCAATGACTTCAAAGAAATTAGTCTGATCTGCTCCTGTGCTTCTTAAAACAAATCTACAGAAATCAGTACAGGCAGAACCAAATCCAATAGATACATTCCACAGAATCAATATACACTGATTCACCTATCTACTGCCTGGAAATACGAAATAAAAAACTCCCCAAAATACTAATTTATATGCATTTCCAAAGCGTGTTTATCAGAACTGGCCACTAGGGGGAGTCAGAGACCTTGCAATGTATAGTGTTGCATACTTCCATGTTTTTCCGGCATCCAGTTTTGAAATAACCATCGATTCACCATACATTCCGCAGAATCAATATACTGTACACTGATTCACCTATCCACTGCCTGAAAATACGAAATAAAAAACTCCCCCAAATACTAATTTATATGTATTTCCAGAGTGTGTTTAACAGAACTGGCCACTAGGGGGAGACAGAGACTTTGCAACGTATAGTGGTCCATACTTCCATGTTTTTCCACATCCAGTTTTGAAATAACCATCGATTCACAGACAAGAAAGATTTACTATTTAGTTACCAAAATCACATTATGCTCACTGGTTTTGGAAAACATCAGGGTTTTTATCGCTACCATTTCTTTTTTCTTTTTCTAGCATTCTTTTTTTTTCTAGCATAACAACTGGTGGGCACACAGAGCCACCTTGTGGCCTGGCTGAGGTATTGCCTCTGGATGTTTTCAGTTGCCAAATTTGCAGAAAAAGCTGAACGAAAAACAAGGGTCCTGGAATGCAGATCCAGAAAGTAAGAGCTCACAAAAAAAGGGGACGAATGGCTAAACTCTCTTTCAAATCTTCGAGTTTCCAAGAAGTTCATTCACAACATTATTCTGTCCCGAATTCACATGAACAAATTCTTTGTTTCTAGAAACTAGAAAGCATGCATAGAAATAATATTCAGCTAGATACATTCTTTGTGTGCAAATCTCTATTTTTGTACACATTTTGTCCTAAAATATACATTCCATTGGCTTTGAGAACTTTTTTCCTGAGCTGAGAATCGTAGCACAAAATTCGTGGGGAGGGGAATGCATAATCCCAAAGATAACAGGATTCTGATCTGCATGTTAGTCCAAAAGCTAGGGATAATCTTATTGGTTCCCTTTGGTATATTAACTGTTCTAAATCTGCAACCTTACTTTGTCAAAACAAAAAGGAAACAAGGACAAATTTTCTCCGGGACAGTTGAACAGTCATAAACGAAAAAGGGTGGACAGGTTACAATCTTGGCCTATGGAAACTCATCATGGAATTCTAAGAATCTGAAGCACCTAATGGGTTATTTGTATCTTCTTTTTTCTTTTCTTTCTTTCTTTTTTAAACAAAGAGCAGTCCTCCTGGGCTTAGAATGGAATTCTAATTGGGAAAATATTGATCAGGGTAGAGCTCATTTCTTCTTTTGCTCTCACATTGGAGGCAACAAATTTTGGAGGGGCTTCAAAAAATAATAATCCGCATCTATGTATCTTGAGACACCCTAAATCAACAAGAAGGAGGAATTGGAGGGCACAGCCCTTTTTTCCTAGGAGGTACTCATCCTGACCTACACATTAAAGCAATGGTCCCCAACCTTGGGTCTCCAGATGTTCTTGGACTGCAACTCCCAGCAGCCTTCACCACAAGCTGTGCTCCCAGGATTTCTGGGAGTTGTAGTCCGATAACATTTGGAGACCCCAAATGTCGGGAAGCGGCCCTACGTTCAAGACATAAGATAATCTTTTCGCCCTCCACTTTTCTGTCCCCTCGGCTCATTCCCGGCGATCAACAGGAGACGACAGCATAAGCCATGCTGGGATGAGCCAGAAGGCCTCGGCAGATGGTTCCACTTTAATAGGGTGGGGGAGCGAAGGGGCTAATGGAACAGCTTGGGCCCATATTAGCCTGGAATCTGTTTGGTGGTGCAAGAAACCCATTACGAGGAACATACGAGAGCTGTATCGGTCCGCAGTCAATGGTGAGTAAATTCATGGGGAGATAATCAGTCCGGAAATAGCTGTAGGGGTGTGGATATCACCCTCTCGTGGGAGGAAAGGGCCGGGTAAGGTCGAACGCTAAGCTGATCCCGGAAAGTTAAGTGTGAAACTGGAATCTGAGACAATTCTCAGCTTTAAACAAGAACAAGGCTGTGGCCGTTTGTGGCTGGGCATTGATCTGAGGAGGATGGCAATCTGAAAAGGTTCAATTTTGGGGACTCTAAAGACACAGAATTCCCCAGCCAACCCTTCTAAACTCTGAAGAGGATTCTTTCCTTTAAATGTTTGTGTGTTGGTTATATCTACAACCCACATTTGTCTGAAAGCAGTTCAAAGGAGCCGTACAACAGCTTCCATCCCAATGTGGTTTATCCTCACAACAACCCAGCGAGGTAGGTTTGGGTGGAAAGGTGGCAACCAGCCAAAACCGCCCAAGTGCCTACGGATTCGAATTCAGGACTCCCAGATCTTAGTCTCACCTCCCAAACCAGAGATGGGGAAATTCACACCCCTCCCGATAGGGCTGGGCTATAATTTTCATCCTCCCTGACCACTGGCTAGGCAGACTAGATCTGATAGGAGTTGTAGTCCCTGCTCTAACCACTAGGCCTTGGCCTTACTCCGACTTGCAACCATCAGGGTCAGCTCTGCAACCTTCTGCCTTAAGGCGGCCTCCGGATTGCTTACCCATCCCATTTAATCCACCACGGGAGAACCAGAAGCCCCCCCAAATACCAAACCAACTCAAGAACATCACTCCATTGACCGGTCCTCCTATCAGGGGCTCACCTGTAAGACGTAGTCCAGGGCTAAGTGCCGGAAACATTTCCTGGTGATGGTCAAGGTGCCCGTGGCCTCTTCCACCTCGTGGGGCTTGTGCCGTGGGGCCTGGGCGTTCTTGACCAAAGCGATCTCCATATCTTCCCGCACTTTATCGAACTGCTTCTTGGTCTCCTTGAATTTCCGAACATCACTGCAAACAAAGAGAGAGAGGGCGATGTTATTTTTTCATTTAGAAGCACTTACCTAGGGACAGAAAAACTAGGCTACATCATCATCACCATCACCACCAGCAGCACCACTACCATCATCATCATCATCATCTGTGGCATCAGTATCCACTGACTCATTTATCCACTTTCTGAAAACATTAAAAATATTAATAGGAAAATCCTAGAAAAATTATATGTCTAAAGATGAATTTGCCAGAACTGGCTACTTAGAGGGAGACAGAGAGCATGTTATGTATAACTTTCTCTATTAAAACAGTGTTTGCTATAATCCACATTTTTCAGTATCCCCGGAATGGCCTACAACTGAAGATATGGGTTCCTGTTACACCCCATGGATATGAGGGCCCTATTATATTATTGTTATTGGTTAGAATGGAATTGCCATTTACGCTTGTGTAAGCCAAAGACCCATCTTTTCTGGCAGGTTTCTAACAATCCCGATTGAGTCTCTGAATGCCTTTTTAAAAGTTAAGCTAATTTTTCATGTTTCCTTGCTTTCAATTATTCATTTGCATTATAATCAGCATACATTTGTGGGTTTTTTTCATGTTCAACTTGCAATGTTTTTAATTCTATTATTTTCAATATCGTGAGCCGCCTTGGGTCCCCTTATTGGGAGAAAGGCAGCCTATAAAGGAAACAAATAAATAAATAATATCCAGGGTTCAAAGTTGTTTGGGGCTTTATAATTTGACCACAGAATCTCCAACCTGACCCACGAGTCAAAATATGGACTCAAAGAGGCAACCTGTGACCTTTCTTCACCGTAAGCAGAAATGATGATTGTCCACTGACTGTTGAGGATGGATTCTTGTTCTTGACGTCGTAAAAATTGCTGAAACCGACAAATTTGCACATTCGCCAGGCCCAAATTTGTGTGTTCCGAAGGCCCGCTTTGCAGAGGCACAAAGCACACCCTTGACAATGGGAATGGCTAGAGTCATCTTGCTATTTACACTTGTGTAACAGAAATCAGAGCTTTGTGGATATCCTGGGAATACAACCACTGTCTTGTCGTCGGCGATGAAAAGAGGACGGGGTGACAATGTAAGTGGAATTCAAGGGAGGGGGGAAATAACATGGCAAGAGAGATTTTTTAGATCCCTGGTGCCTGTTTCAGTTTCATTTTTAAAACATCCCCTATTCTTTATTTTTTTGCAAATTTCTCAGTTTTTCTGGGAAAAGATGGCGGGGGAGACGGTCGTGGGTCGGCTGGCCGGCCGGCCTCCACATTCGCAACAGGGATCACGAAGAGGACAGCTTTGGCCCACCAGATGCTCTTTAAATTTGTAGGGCAACAAATTATATTTCTCGTCTAGACGGTCCAGAAGACGACGCGTACCCTAACCTCATTCCTCGATCAGAAAATTAAGAAAGCAGCTCATGAAGGATTATATCTGTCTGGAAATTATTTCTGAGCATCCCCAGACTCCACTGAATTATGATTAGGTGCACTTTAAGGCCAGCCTTCCTTTACAAGACCTCTGGCACAGTTTCCTTGCTCGGCTTCGCCTCTCCTCATAACGACCCTGTGAGGAAGGCGCATGGAGCAGATATCCTTGGTCGCCCTCAGCTCATTCAGAAAGGTTTCTGGCTGCTCAGGGACTTAAACAACAGACACTGAGTGTCCCCGAAGTCTTGTGTTTGATTTTAAAGTGCAGAGATTTATTACAATCCCCATAATTCATAACTGCACACAGTCAATTCTGGCTCATAATGATCCTTTCCAGGCAGAAAATGGTATGCCCTTCCCTTCCTCCAGGGGGAGCCCTGGGATTGTGCAGCTTCCCCAAGGCTGCCCAGGTTGGCTTTTCTCTCTGGACACAGCAGGGAATCGAACTCCGAACCTCCAGCGCTGCAGCCAGCGACCTAAATCTGGCCAGTTCACACAATCACTCCCTAATGGACGCACAACAGGGAATCTAACTCCAAACCTCCGGCGCCAGAGCCAGCGACCAAAATCCCTGAGCTATCTGGCCAGTTCACACAATCACTCCCTAAAAGTGCAAGCAGCTGCACTGATGGAGTTCTAGAAACCACTCATCAACAGGGGCAGGGCCTTTGTAAAGCTAAGGGATCTTAATTGCCCCTTCAAGGCCCAAAAGACTCCAAACGGGCTTTGCATTGCAAGAGGGACATTTCGCAAAAATCTGTCCTTGCCGGAACATTTCTACATCGCCAGCAGCTACCACAAGGATTGCAGTTAAAACTCAGAGGTGTGGGGTGAGGAAAGGCAGATCCAAATCCACTCCAAGATGCAGAATTCCCCCTCCTTTCTCCGTAACCAGGTTGAGGTGGGAAGATGAGAAATCTCAGCTCCCTGGGAAAAAAATGATGAAGGTGTCTAATGTAGGTTTGTGGAGGGGCATGAGGTGGTTCACTTATTCCTCAGTCTTGCCCTTCCTGGTCAACTTTCTGAAGTCACCTACAGCTGTCGGGCCCCACATCTGTCGCCGGTTCCCATGGAAACACACAACCGCGTTGAGCTGAACATCTTGGCCGCCTCACTGACCTATATTTCCTCGCTTTCCATGTCTGCTTTATACCTGGCTTATTTTTAGTGAGGAATTGAAAGGAGACAGCAGGTCCATCAAGATGTCCGTGATCGGAGGGCTGATCTTGGAGAAGGTTGGCCCCCTTACCAGCAAACCCCCAAAGGGCGACTTACAGGCCGTCCAGTTTTATGGGGTGTACGGTTCACAGACTGTAGAAGTGGCCTACAATTTGGGAAAACGTGTGCTCGTATATAAAACCAGTTACGCTTTAAGGGCTCCCCAAATGAACCAACTCTTTGGCAATTTTCTATATGTGGAATGCTCTTCTCCTCACAATGGCGGCCGCCATTTTGGGTCACCTTCCCCCCACACCTGGCTCTTCTTTCATGTATGTAAAATGGATGCCAACGCCGTACTTTTGGAAACAAAATGGGAGGAAGCATATATTATAAACGGCGATGGAATTTTCACATTTTTCTGGACTGCAAAAGGCATAATTTTCCATTTTGGGAGGTCTATGCTGACAACTAAAAAAAAAATTAAATGTGATCCACTTGGAACGAAAAACTAAATTGGAAGGGTTGGAGGCTGAGCAAAGCCAAGTTCTGCCCACGCTTCCTGCTCGGAAAGAAAACTCCCAGCTAGCAGTGGGGCAGGAACAGGAAGCTGGGGAAGAGCTAGGCCTTATAGACTTCCAGGTTAGGCCTTTCCCCAAGGCGAGCAACAGTTCGGTTTAATCAGGGGTCTGTAAGGCAGGTAGAACTTCCAGAATGGGGAATTATGATGTTTGTAGTCCAGAACATCCAAAAAGGCCACCCCTAATTATAAACTTAACTCAATGGGGAGTTGCTGTAGTGTTTTGATCTAGAGACACACACAGGTGAAGGACTACAATGTATTCGTATAGGCGCATTATCAAAATACTTGTAAGAAGTGGTGAGACATTTCAGTCTAAACGTTCCAGCTGGTGTTACAGGACAGTGTTCCTGCAAAAACGGGTTAAAAATGCAAGGAAAAGAAACCACACACACACAGACACACACACCAAAATACTCACTCTTTCACAAAATTGTGCAGCTGTTGCCGGACAGACCTCTGCGCTTGGTCAAAAAGGATCTGTATCAGAAGAGAGAGAGAGAGAGAGAGAGCAAGTGAGGAGAAGAAGACGAGAAGATGTCAATGAAATGGATTTATCAAAGATTTCTGCAAGACCTGGTCCATCAAAGTCGGCAATTCTGCAAGCAACGTGCTGCCCACATTCCTTCCAACATGGAGGACTTTTGCATGAATCTGTTGTCAAGGAATGTCCGGAGAATGGGTTTGACCACACCAAAGCTCTTGGTAGTCCAATGTCAAGGAAGGAAAGCCCACCAGCAAGACCTGAGTACGCCTCCACCACCCTCCATTTTGGGCTCCCCACCTTGTCTCCCATCATGGAGAGGATACATAGTCTTCTGGACCACTAGACAGGGATAAACCCATCCTCCAGTAAACGGTCTCATCCCTTTTCGTACCGCTAGCCAAACCAGTGGACAACGTCACATTTCGATGCTACCAAACTTGGATCGTTTGAACTGTTTGCTTTCGGCTGCCCTGCGCCCCCCCCAAACATCCAGCTTCTCTGGAATAAGGCTTGTTTTAATTCTGCTTATTTTTATATATATATTGCTCATTTGTACACTCTACTCAAAAGCCCCAAAAGCAGTTACAGAAAAAAAAATATTAAGGTCCGGGGAAAAAAATTAAGTGGTAGCAAAGGAGTCTCCCACAGGCATGAGTACAAAATCACAAATACAAAGGAAAAATAAGGTGTTCAGGAATATACCTAACTGGACACACTATTAAAAAGAGGTAACTGAAGATAGTTTTGGACTTCTTTTTCCAATGGCAGAAACCAAATCACTTTTGAGACTAAGAAACGTATGTTTGTGTGAGCTTGTGTGGCTTCCTTTTTTTGCCAGTAGAGGGCACTGTCATCTCTCTCTCTCTCTCTCTCTCTCTCTCTCTACACACACACACACACACACACATACACACACACACACAGAGAGAGAGAGAGAGAGAGAGCTCTATTGGCTCCATATAATGGAACCACCTCCCACAAAGAAACAGACATTAGAGATAGCCCATCATTAGAAGGTAAAAATCCTGAACTAACAGAAGCATCTGAGGGGTTACAGAAGTTATCCTTCCAAGCTCTGGCTGTCCATCTGTGAAAGGACGAGGTAGTGTGGAAGTGCAAGACAGGCTTCTAGAACCAGGCTGATCATCCTGTGGTCATCCTTATCTTTTTGACTTCAGTTCCCACAGAAGCTTCTGTTGACGTGACCAACGGTCAGGAATTCTGGAAGTTGGAAGTCCAAAACAGCTAGATGGGCGTTAAAGGTTGGAGGGTGCCACAAATTCTGGAATCTAACTTACATGCAAGCACATCTGGATACATGGATATTAAAGGATGCAGATGGGGTCCTTCCAGACAGACCTTCTGGAGGTGGCTTGCAACCCTACAACCCTCGGTCTACGTGCTGTGCGCTCTCCAGCGTTGCTTCCGAATGCCTATTCTTGGGGATTTTCTAAACATTGGCAAACCAGTTTCCTTGGCCCACTATGAGGGCAGGGTATGATCCATGGAGAAATAGGCTTTTCAACCGTGCCAACATCATCATAACTTTGAATACTGAACCGGCCACCAGCCAAAATCTGAAGGAGGGGATTTGCAGAAGACGCCTACATTTTATTATTCAAAATGCATTAAACTGAGTTTTTAAAGCCCAACACCAAATGGGCTTGGCTTGGCTTCTCTCTCTCTCTCTGTCTCTCTTTTTCTTTCTTTCTTTCTTCTTCCTGAAATATAACTACTCTGTCATTTTCTTGGCTCCCGAACCAGGCTTTGGACGGATTATATGAAATAAAAGTTTCCAGAACCTCCTGCCTCTCTACTCCCACCCATCTCTGAGCCCCCAAAAAAGTCATGAGGTGTCCAGGATGTGACTCACTCAAGGCTGGCCACTTTGGATGGAGTTTTTTTTTTTCCCCCGAGGGAAATTTAAGGGGAGAGGGTTAATCTACACATTTCTTGGCTCTGGGGAACAGCCCCACCATAGAGGAAAACTAACCAACAGCCCAGGAATGTCCAAATTCCAGGCATTCTACAATGTTTGTTGTACAGAAAGAAGGATTTTTCACAAAAAGTCATCCAGTTTTCCAGAAGTTCTCTGTTCCGATATCTTAGTTTCCAAATTGTGTACAGAGAGAGTGATGCGGTCTTCCTTTCCGGCAGCTTTGTTTGCTTGCCCTGCCAATCAGTGTATTTATTTTTTATTTTATTAGATTTATACCCCGCCCATCTAGACAAATGGTCTACTCTGAGCGGCATTGCAAAATTTAAAAACAATAGCACCAATAAGCATGCAAAAATCCAAGATGTGAAAATGTAAATATCAAGGAGATGTAACCAAAGAATCCACCGAGCACTGATGAAGACAGTATTTAAAACAAATCCACCCTCTGGCGTAAATCTGCCTTGAGTAGACCCATTATATCAGCTTATGACTGGGAAGTAAACACTGGGGTCAACTGCATGGATTCAACCGTTCTATTCTGGTTGCAAACGACTAAATGGATTTAAGCTACACTAGGGCTATCATCTCAACATTTTATAATTACACTATGGAACTCACAGCCACAAGACGCAATAACGCCGCCCTCGCTCTCTTACCACAAGCTACAAACCCCAGAATGCCCCATGTGGGAGCTGTAGCGGTCAAAGTGGGACCTAAATGCCAAAAATGTGCAATGTAGACACACGCAGCCTCGCTCTCTGCTCTGCAAAATTTTGCTGCCACTTCCCTTTGTGATGGTGTCGCTGTTGCTTGTGTTCATGAACACGGATGATGATGCCACTGTATCTCCCTAATGAGGGTGTTCTGCATTAGGATACGAGCATCTCAACCAGGACCTCAGTTTGCTCAGATCAGAAAACATTCTCGACCAACAAGAGTTTAGGAATTTACTCTGTTGAGAGGAACGTGGACTTTCTGCACCAGCAAAGCAAGTTCAACTGCAATACTGCAGTTAAGCCTCTGCTCACAACTTGAGTTTGATTCTGACAGGTTCTAGTATCCAGCTCGAAGCAGACTCAGTCTTCCATCCTTCCAATGTTAATGAAATGAATACCCAGCTTTTTTGGGGGGGGGAGTTATTCCTAATACAATTATGTTGTATAAACCGCCCACAGAGCGCTCTAGCACTATAAGGTGTTATGTAAGTCAAAACAACACAACAACAACAAAAAGGCTGAATCCAAAGAAAGTACCGTATTTTTCCGTGTATAAGACACCCCCATGTATAAGACGCCCCCAGTGTAATAATCCAAAATTAAGAAATCTTAGTGGGGTTTAGCAAGGGTGGGGGGGAAAGGGATCAAAGTGCTGCAGGATCGCTTTGATCTCTGCTTTCCCCTCCACTCCCTCAATTTTTAGTCTAAAGATTCTAGACAAAAGTATAGTCTCATACACAGAAAACTTTGATATATACTATGATTATAGAAGGTACAGAGTATAGAGTGAGAACTATCTTGGAATTGTAGATCGAAAGCTGAATAAGAACCAACAGTATGATATGGCTTCCAAAAAAGGCAAATGTGATTTTAGGATGCATTGACAGAAATATCATCTCCAAATCCTGTGGGGTAGTAGTTCCCCTCTATTTATCACTGGTTCGGCCCCATCTAGACTACTCGGTCCAGTTCTGGACACCACACTTTAACAAGGATGCTGACAAACAGGAGCAAGTTCAGAGGAGGGCAACAAGGAGGATCAGGGGACTGGAAACCTATTCCTAGGAGGAAAGAACTGGGCCATTTTTATCCCTGAGAAAAGAAGAAGGAGTGGAGATAGGAGAGCAGTCTTCAAATATTTGAAAGGCAGTCATCCAGAGGAGGGGCAGGATCTGTTCCGGATTATCCCACACTGCAGAGCACATCATAATGGGCTCCAGCGACAAGAAGCCAGATTTGGGGTGAAAACCAGGAAAAACTTCTTAACTGTTAGAGTAGTACGACGGTGGAAGCCATGATCTCGGGAGGGGGTGAGGGCTCCAGGACTGGAGGCATTGAAGCCAAACCTAGAACACCCTCCATCAGATCTGCTTTTATTTGGATCCCTGCCTTGGGGAAGGGGGTTGGACCCGATGGTCTTCTAGGCCCCTTTCCAACTCCGTTATTCTAGGATTCTACAATTCAGCTGCTCAAACAGCAACAGTTCGGTGGTTCCAGCACGCAACCCGGAATGGCCTAAAGGAAACAGCCGTAAATGTCCACACTGACGTAATGCTTTAATGCTAGTTGCACTGCCTCATTACCCCGGATGCACTGGACTGTAAAAATAAAGAGTATTGATCTGGAACTGGGAGTGTTCCGCTAGTTTGGCTCCGGGCAAGCGCTTGATCTCCCCCACTGACTTCTTGGGAGATGGATGCTTCTGAAAACCCAGTGCAATCCGCCCCGTCCAAATTTCTCCCATGGAAAGGTGCCTGTTTCTTTTCCAGAGCGTGTCCACCAGTTACGGTACCTATTTTAACGGCTCTGTTCTGAGGAATGCTCAGATTTGTAGTTTGGGGAAGTACATTCATATTCTGCTGCCGTTTAGGGAAATATAGAAGAACGCTCTAGCAGAGAAATCTAAGGATCTTGTCCAACAGAAGTAGTGGGAAGCTAAAAGATTGAAGCGTCATAATTAGGGATATCCAACTGCTCATGGATCTTGAAGTGGAATGATGGGGGGGGCGTCAACATACTGAGAAATGAGAAGTTGGAAAAGATCATTTAAAAAACAAAATTTGCAGTTCCAAAAAATCTCTTTTCAAAGGCCGTCAAATGAGTTTCCTGACCAAGTGGAGATTCGAACTCAGGTCTCCTGCATCCTACAAAAGTCTGCCTCTTTGAAAAAAGTGGCCTCACCTCTGCCTGTCTGGAAGCTGCAGAGATCTCTCGTGGCTTCTATTTCTCAGAATCATAGACTCGTAGAATAACGGAGTGGGAAGGGGGCCTCGAAGGCCATCTAGTCCAACCCCCTTGCTCAAGGCAGGAAAACAAATCAAAGCAGATCTGACCAAGGGTGGTCCCGTTCACTCTTGAAGGCCTCCAGCGTTGGAGCGCCCACCACCTCCTCCCCAGATCATGGTTTCCGTTGTCATACCGCTCTAACAGTTCAGAAGTTGAGAGGTCATTCAGCCTAAATCTCTCTTCCTTCGGTCACGGGCGAGCGTGACCAACAGACAGGACCCAGAAACCAGCTTTATCACACTCGCAACAGCGAGGGCATGCCAAAGTTACTTTGGAAGGCGAAGTCCAAGGCACTCCCAAGTTCCTTTTTCCCCCGACCACCGCTCCAGGGAATCATCCTAGCCTCCCGAGCGACCCCTCAAAATCAAAAGTTTTTTGGAATTTTATGGATTGATTTATATAAAATATTTTGAGCTCTAGCTGAAATCCCTCGGAAAGAACCTTTATTTTTTTTTTTTTTTAAGTTCTAGAGGAGATGAAAGAAGAGAAAAAGTGGGCGGGCAGGAAATGATGATGGAAGGCGGAAGCCCCTTCTCTTCATCTCCCGAAGGAAATCCTAGCGGAGAAGAAAATGCGCTCGCCCTTCCTTTTAGGAGGATGATTTTACGGCCCGGGAGGTGTTGACATTTCGAAATGTCAAAACAAGGGTAAGAAACGCAGCCCACAATATCCCCAACATGCC